ACCCGAGAGCATATATACATATATCTCTCTGTGTGTGTATGTACGGCGGAATTAATGAATGAATGGATGCATGAATTGGTTGAATGCGTTCTCATGCGCGCATGCACGCATACACAACTACATATGCTTATAGTATGCACACACACACGTTTGCCTACATGCATACATGCAGAAGTACATACATGCATGCATGCATACTTACATACACACATGTTTATATCTACAACCTCAACGACATCCAGATGTGCATCTAGCTGTACATTGCGCACACATCTGCCCATACATATACATGTATGCATACATATCCTGTTGCATGTATACATAACCATACGCATGCATGCATACATAGATGCCGGCATACCTGCATCATGCACACACGCACACACACGCATATACACACCCACAGACATGCAGACAACTCTGTCACGTACTCATGTTGCTCAAAGCACGTGGACAGGAAGTGCAACATTGCAAGTTTCCAACACAGAAGCGGCCCAAGCACCTGTGACGTTTGCTAGTTGGGCCAGGTTCTGGCGCTCGATCGACTTCTTCTTCTGCGTCTTCTTCGCCACAGAGGCGAACTGGGCAGAAACAGGTGGTTGCACATAGGTAGCACTCGACACTATGCGGAGCAGATTCAGTTCTCTGGCGGCAAGACTGAACCAAGACCCAAGAAGGCTTTCCATCCCTTCCACTACTGTATTGTCTTCGCAGGTCAGCATCAAGCTGTACGTCTACCGGTGTCTCGCCCCGTTTACTGTTGCTCGAAAGTTCTTTGGGCGGGATTACATGCCCCGTGGACTGATTGTTCTCGCTTGCTCCTTGTGCATGGTCAAACGACGCCGAGAAGAACGAGTCGGCTTGCTAAGGCTACGGTTCTTCACCATGCATGCCTGCGCGCCACTTTCCTGCAATTAAGACTGATCCTGGCCTCGAAGCGGTACCGAGCGTGTGGCAGCCACAGCCTTCCGAACTTATGCCTATGATCAGAAGCTCAGCATGAGGCCCTCAGTCACCAGCCGAGCTGCAAGTGAAGTGCAACTGCCGATACAAAAATCAGGTGGAACATCATAGACCTGGTTCTGGCAATTCTGCAAATCGTGGAAGAGGTGATGGCCCTCGTTGCATCTCGGCGAGCCAGGAGTCGAGCTCAAGGCAAGCGAAAGAGCCGTTCCCGTTTTAGGGTCTTTTTGTATAAGGGCGCCGTGCCTTTTTGGGGGGACCTAAAAGGGTTCCCTAATTTGGAGAGCTACTCACATGCTTAATCTGTGGATTGATGCTGTCCGACAGGGAGCCAGGCTCAGGGATACCCCAATTTCATTGAAGGTACCGGGGATGTTCTCTCTGGCTTGGAAGATGGTGAGCTGCAGAGCCCCTACGGCAATCCGAGTTCGGCAGGTTGTTCTGTCTGAATTCGATAGCCAGCTCATGATTCGTGTGTAAGGTGTGCTGTTGCCGAGGCTAGCATCACTGAGGAGCCCTACCAGAGCCTACGACTTGATTTGATGCGCCACCTGGCTTGCATGCTCAAGGTTCAGGTTCACGATTTCGTGTTTGCGTTCCCTGTCTGGTGTTCGCAAGTATCGCAAATTGCGTCGCAGTCTTGTGTGATGCAAAAACGCTCTTAGCCCTCTTGGCCGTGAAGAAGATGAGATTATTTGTGCAATCAGTTCACTTCCGCCTCCACTAGTCCCACGAGCCGAGCACCTGGCAAGAAGGTGCTGTTCGCATAATGCGAGGCGTCAAGGCCTGCGAGAGCGAGAGAGAGAGAGAGAGAGAGAGACAGCTGCTGCTACTGTGGTGCAACCGTGTCGATGTTGGCAGAGATAGGCAGGCTGGATGCAATGTCTACAGGTCAGACAACATCTCATCAACCAAGGGCTGCACTTCAAGCGCCCATGCTGTGTTCTGGAGGTCCTGCGCCTGGTGAGGGCCGTTCGATATGCTGGGGACCTGCAGCTGATCGTACCCTCGACAGCACTCAGCCATGGATCGTCGAAGTTCAACTCGTCCCGGTCCCAGCTCAGGTCAGCTGCTTGATTCTGTCCCTGCGGACATTTCTTTGGAGTGTCCTCCTCCTGGTGATGACGATCTATGCGTGGAGCCCAAGCACATAAACGCTGTGAGAAGTTTGAAGCGGTGGTTTTCGGCCTGCGACGAGACCAGGTCATGGCCATCTACATTACGCAAGCCTGCAACATCCGTCGATTTGAGAATCCGGATGCTGACGGGAATGACTTGCTGCAGTAGCACGGCTGAAAGCGATGGTAGTGCCAGTGGCCGGCGTCAGTTTTAGGGAAGGTCTGCAGGGAGTCTTCCGCCTGGTTGAAGCGACTGTGGTTGAGCTGTTTCATCAACGTCTTCATCATCTTGACAGCTTCGAAAAAGCAAAGATGACAACTCAGTCGGAGCTGCTTACCGAGGAAATGGTGGGGGGACATCTTCATTAGCACTTCGGCACATCTTTCTGCAGCGGTTTTGTTCTAATCGCATGCACACAGACAGAGTCATGTTGCCAACATGCTCTGGGAACTGTCAGCGCCTTTGTTCAACTTTTGGTTGCCCTGCCTGGGAAGATTGGGAAGTCGTCGAATCGTCGCCGTGGCATTGCCGTGCGTGTGTCTCACTGGTCGCGACGGAGCTGGAAAGATCCTCCAGCAGGTCTCCAGCAATGAAGAATCAATCGCCACCTCTGAAACAAAGCGAAGCATGCAGCTCCAAGTTCCGAGTCCGTCAAGCTCCCCGGCCCGAAAACTGATGTAAGTTTGGTGGAGTCGGCCAGGCCAAGATCCCCGAACCTCTACTGAAGCTTGGTGAGAACCCCAGACGTGCTCGCTGGCCGAAAGCCGAGGCATGCTGTCTGTTTTTCAGGCCCTCAGTGGAGGAGACGCGGGTCCTAGAAAAGGTGGTCGGTTCCTTCAAGGAAGCAGAAGCCACGGAGAGGTAAGGCAGAGCTACTGAGTTTGCCCGACCGAATTCACGCTCAACATCTCTGCTCCAGCTTCTGCTCCAGGAGTGGACTGGAACGACGTTTACCAGCCCGTCTTCAAGCCGCTTAGCAGGTTTGTTCGATTTCTCTGTTCGAATCGATGGGGTCACCTCCCAGAAATGGTGCAGAGCTACCTCACGTGTCTTGACACCACAGCTTGGGCAGCTGTATCGATCTCGCCACCTGGGATCGGGCTGTGCTTCATGGCATGATGGAGCTGTTGCAAAAGGGGGGAGAACAGGCCCAAAGGGAATCAAGAGCAGGCCCTGCAGGGACTAGCAGAGCAGGGCAGCGAGCAGCGAAGGTATGTCTCGCCGGCTCTGGCTGTCTTCTTGGTCGTGTACCTGGCATTCTGCTGCCTGGCCTTGAATTGCATCTCATTTCCAGCCGAACGCAAACGTGTATGACTTCCTCAATTCTGGGACTCAAAGCCTTGCGCACCGGCGATGAATGCTTTCTTGAGACAACAGCATACTTGTAGGACAGCTATCAGTTGCTGATCTTGGCGTACCGGTTGAGGGAATGATCTCCTCAGCAAGCAGCGACTCGTCGCCTTCGAAGGCATGGCATGTGTGAAGATGTCTCTGAGCTCCGCCATCCGCCAGACTGAACCTCAGCAGAGCCGTATTACCGAGGCAAGGTGAAGCTGTCCGCCTTAAGCAAAAAGTAATCTGAAACCCCAAAGCCTGAAGCTACTTAAGCACTCGAACGGGCAAAGTTGCGAGGCTTGCTTCCAAGAAGTGTGTTCCACGACATTAGCGCAATGGTGTCTCACACTTCATTTATGAGTTGAGCTGTGTACCGAGAACCATTCAATGCGGTTCGGAAGCGCAGGCTCGCCAGCAAGGTCAGTGACTGTCAGCAGAAGTCCTGGGACACCTCCAGACACGGGAAAGCCCGAGCTTGAGGAACCGTACCCAGCAAGTTTTCTACAAGAGCAGCCATGACACCATTCCGCAGCATTCCACGAATCGATCTTCTCTCGAGGCTACATGGCGCTGCTGAACGTCATTACGGGTACATTCGTCCTCGGGCCGCAAACCCTTCAGCGGTTTTGTCGGGTTGGATGCTGTCTCGAGGTTTGGACTTGCAAGGTGTGGGCCGTCAGCATGTTGTTGGCAAGACGGCACATGAGACCTCATGCTTATTTCCGCAAGTCCGGTCCAAGAAGTCGCTGGGCGTCCTCAGCCTGCCCCTAAGGTGGAAACAGTGGGCCGCCAGGCCAGCGAGCTCAAGATACGCACGCAGAGCCTCGGCGGAATCCCTTCAGCCGCGCTCGGTGCAGAAGTTGCCGTGCCCGCACGGAATGTTGAAGCCATCAGTAGAGAGACTTGAGTTCCGTGCAGGATACTTCAAGCACGGCGGCTGTTTCAGCAGATCGACGAAGACCACTCTGGCTTCATTTCACTGTCGGCCCTTTGGCTCTCAAGAATCGACTCGTACTTGCCTAGGCTTCCGGTGCTGTGACAACACTTTTTTCACGGTTCTCGGAAAGCTCTGCATCAGGAGATCCAGAACCAGACTGCCACGGCCGCCGTTGTGGATTTCTTTGATTCGTGGCTCTGACGGTGGGCCGCGGTGGCGCACACATGCTTTTGCAGCCAACGAGCTTTGATGGTTACCACACCTCGGACAGGAAGCAACCTCCCAACAGGCACCGGCAGGAGTACGACTACTGTATCCGTATTGTCACAAGATTACGAGGAAGATGATGCGAATGATGATGATGACGACCACCAGCTTGTGGTGTTACCGAGGCAATGTGGATTCTGAGGAACCTTGCGAACTGCAATTCACACCAACCGATGTGTTCTCAATGCCCAAAAACTCACTGCATGAAATTGAAGACAATCGACCCTGCAATCCGAAGCCGCTTCTCCAAGGAGTCGGTGGACGTGGATCCCTCGGAGGCGCAGTACTTGCTGGAGGCTTCTCTCCCGATTTGTTTCGTTGCGTGGAGGGATGGGACTGGTAGATGAAGTTTGGATACTCTGACGATGTAGGTTGCTGTACTTGTCATGTATGTGCAACCTCGTATGCCGTACATGGCATGCAAAGACCTTGCAAGGACCTTGTGCTGCATGGATGTGTGTCTGTATGTACTGCATGTACTGCATGTTTGCATGTGCATGCAAGCATACAGTGTGAAGAGACGTTGACAACCAAGAAGAGGAGGAAGAAGCGAGGATCCACGGCGCGTCAGTGTAGGAATTCTGGACCTGGAACATGGGATATGGAAGTTTCGGAGGAAGTTTGGGATTCAAGGTTCCAGGGGAGGCTCGCGTGAGGCCGGCGCTTCTTTGGAGCTCTGAGTATATCGGAGTTCTTCAAGCTTTGGGAGCTCTCCAGGGCGCAGTGATGTGCTGGACAGGTCCTTGACATGGATGGGAGTGGCACCATCAATTTTGAAGAGTTCCTGCGCGGAACTTTGAGGTGCCATCTGGCTCCCATGTCACGATTCTTGCATATAGCAGCCCGCTCTCTCCCTCTCTGTCTCTACCCTCGGTCATGGCTGGCAGGGCAGTTGGAGTAGATCCGGGAGCTAGAGCGGAGCAACAGAGAAAGGTGAAGCGAGTGTAAAAGGACGTGATGAGTGCTAACCATGAGCTTCTCTTCATGGCCTTGTCTCTTAAAGGAACACAGAGGGCTCCTTTCCGGCTCCAGGCTGAACGGCTCTGCTCGGGCGGCGGACTTGCTGCTGGTGGCTCGAGAGATGAAGAGGCCAGGATCTGGGACTCCACCCCAGACACTTCCAGACTGGGATCACTCCGGGGATTATGATGGTTATCACTGTTATCACTATCACTGATCACTCGTCCTAAATGGTGTCATGATGCTCGTTTGTTGGTGATGATTGCTCTCACTGTTGGACAGGATTCTTAATCTCTGCCAATTCGGTGTCGTGGAATATTAATCGTCTTGCTCTTGTTCTCAGCTTCACCGGTCTTACGGACGGCTGACTTCTGCAAGACTTCTTTCTGTCCTTGGAAATTTTGGTGTAGTATGGTTTGGAGATGAGTTTCCTTAGGGCTCGCGCGCAGGTTCTTTGTACACACCGCGGCTGAGATGGACGTGATCAAGAGCCATGTCTATGTTGTAGCGTAGTCTCCTAATGCCGCCTTGGTTTACAAAACTGCAACGAACGCATCAAGCCCAACCAAGCTAAATCATGCAGCCAGTATCTGCACAACGGTTCTTTTGGCTCGAGCTGCTTGCTCAGATCTGGGAACAAATGCCCGAGCATGTGCAAGACAGCAGCAGCAGCAGCAGAGGAAGGGTTGCACCACTTCGACTGCCACCAGGAGCACCAGCAGCAGGAAGGCAGCAGAATCACTCAACAGCCGACAAGCACACGACGACGGCGGGGGACGGCTGACGACGACAACGAACCACGACTGTTGTGAGAGCAAGGATAACAGCCCCACAAGCAGCACCACAGCAACAAGAACAACAACAACAACAACAGCAGCCACAACAAAAACGACGACAACAACAACAACGACAACGACAACGACAACGACAACGACAACGACAACGACAACGGCAACAACAGCAGCAACAACAACAACAACAGCAGCAGCAACAACAACAACAACAGCAGCAACAGCAATAACAACA